TTTTTTTTTTTTTTTGGTTTTTTTTTTTTTTTTTTTTTCGAGACAGGGTTTCTCTGTGGCTTTGGAGCCTGTCCTGGAACTAGCTCTTGTATACCAGGCTGGTCTCGAACTCACAGAGATCCGCCTGCCTCTGCCTCCCTCCCAAGTGCTAGGATTAGAGGTGTGCGCCACCATCGCCCGGCCATCTTTCTTGGTTTTTTGAGACAAGTTTCTCTGAGTAGTTTTGAAGCCTAAACTAGAACTCACTCTGTAGACCAGGCTGGCCTTGAATTCACAGAGATCCACTGGCCTCTGCCTTCAGAGTGCTGGGATTAAAGGTGTGTGCCGCCACTGCCCAGTTAACCTCAAATATTTTTCAAGTGTTTTATCCCTTCCTTTCTATCATGTGCACACAAGCTATGGCATAATGTAGATGTCAGGGAACAACTGTACGGAGTTGGTTCTCTCCTCCCACCTTCGCATGGGCTCTGGGATTGAACTCAGGTGTCAGGCTTCCAGGATAAGCACCTTTACCCACTGAGCCATCTCGCCAGCCTCATTCTTTAAAAAAGATTTATTTATTTATTTTATTATGTATGCAGCATTCTGCCTGCATGTTTGCTGCAGGCTAGAAAAGGGCACCAGATCTCATGATAGATGGCTCTGAGCCACCCTGTGGTTGCTGGGACTTGAACTCAGAAACCTCTGCAAGAGCAGTCAGTGCTCTTAACCTTTGAGCCATCTCTCTAGCCCCAAGCCTCATTTTTTTTTTTGTTTCTTAAATATATTCTAACACAATGAACTCTACACTGTCTTTCAATTTAAACTTAATATTGAAGTTTAATATTAATATGAACTCAACATGGATTCAAAATTCTGGATAAGTCCTTTTTCCCCACCAGTAAGACAAATAATTTAAAAAATTTTGAAGATTTCGATCTAATTTTTTCTTAAATTCTAAAGAATGGCAGAATGTCCTACATACACTGGATAGAGTAAATACTTTCTGAACTTTATGATAGGAATGTTATTTTGGGAGTTACCAAACACTACAAACACTTACAGTAAAGCATGACAAACTAACACTCCACAAAACAAAATGCTGAAGCAAAATAGAAGAAAAATTATGAGGCTTTTCAATTTTGCAATCTTTATAAACTAATTTATGAAATTTTAATATTTATAGTTTACATTAAAATCAGTATCATTTTTATAAAAATGAGCATCAGTTTTCTAGCAACAGACGTTTGATTTAGTGGTCAGTGAGGACATGACAAAGATCACAACTTACTTTTCTCGTATTTCAGTCCTATGGTACTTAGGGGTTCCCGGCTTACGACAAAGATAGGGTTCTCCTCTGTGGTTTTAGGGAAATGCTGGGCTAGTCTTCCAAGTTCTAGGACTAAGCGTCGTCCTTCATAGATAAGTTCTTGATTTGCAGAATTAATTTTAGTTTGCTTATATACCAGTTCATGGAATACAGCAGCACTGTGTGAGGGAAGTTAAGAAAGGATGACAGATGCTGATGGAATTGGAGGTCAAACCTGCATGTCAGCAACACTCCTCTGCAAGTGTTCTACGACTGAACACGTCTTCTAAGCCCTGGCTTGTTAATGTGGACACTAAAGACGTACTAAAATGGGAACTCCACATAACCTGACCCTATCAAGTCTCTTTATATTGAAGATCAAGTGACATAAATATGCAGAGCCAAGAACAGGACCTGAAACACAACTATAAAACTTTTGTTAAACACTCTAAGAAATTAGAGTATTTTCAAAATCATGTTTTCGGGGAAAAGGTAAAGTCCCCTTGAATAGGTCCACATGCTCATAGGCGGCCAACAGTGAGATGTGGCTCTGCCTGAAGCTGCTGACTTGACCGGCTCAGGCCTGGGTGCTGTTTTAAGCTCAAGTGCATGTCCACAACAATGACGTCAGTTGATTCAGGCTATAAAAAACCAGAATATGACAAAATAATCTAACGTTATATTTTGTTTATGTTGTATTAGATCTAGTTATTAGGTTATTAATATCTGAATATTTTGTGTAAACTATATTCTTTTTACTTTCAGTTTTTGGTGCTTGTGGTTGAAGTCAGGGCCTCATGCAGGATAAGCAAACATTTCCCACCCCTGGAATTAAGGGTTACAGACAATTGTGAGTCACCACGTGGGTACTGGAAATCAAACCTAGTCCTCTTCAGTGCTCTTAACCATTGAGCCAACTCTCCAGACCCCTTTTCATGGATTTTGAGATAGCAAGACTGTTACATAAATTTTGTTGAACAGACTAAGGCACAAAGTATGAATCTGATTCTTAATTGGGGGGGGGTGTGTTTTGGGGCGAGGTCTCACTATATAACACTGGTCAGCCCAGAGCTGTCTATGTGGACCAGGCTGGCTTTGAACTTGTGGTGATCCTCCTGCCCATATCTCCCAAGAACGCCCACACAGCTTCTTGATCCTACTTTGACATCCCTGTAGAATTCACACGTGGTTGTAAGACAGACGTAACTCAGCAGAGGGCTGGACTCAATGGCAGCACCATGCAACACAGTAAGCTGCCACCATTACTTATGGTTACTTTGATACAATCCATCTAACTCCTTCCCAAACTTTACACTCAGGTGAATATTTAGTCATGTGTAATCTTATTACATAAGTTTTTAAAATATCACCTGGTATTTTTATGTATGCAAAACAAATGTTGACTATTTCTTCAGTATCCATAAAGTTTTCATGCTAATTATGTAAATTAAGCTATACTAAATTTAGAAATTCCACTATATTTAAAACTTAGGCTGTTTTTGTTTTAGAGACACGGTTTCTCTGTGTAACAGCCCTGGCTGTCCTGGAACTCGCTTTAAGGACCAGGCTGGCTTTGAACTCACAAGAGATTCAACAGCCTCTGCCTCCCAAGTGCTGGCATTAAAGGCGTTCACCACCACTGTCCAGCACTCTTGTTTTTAAAGAGGGTATACTTTCAATAAAGCAGCTCATTTTTACCAGTACACGGCACTTGAAAGAAGTCATAGGTTTAGCTCTGTAAGTACACAGTAAAACTTATCTGTGTATTAAGAAAAAAGTAAAAGGGTTTACTTCCGATTAGTGACCAGGAATTCACTAAGCACTTAAAGTCAGTTTCCCAAGACACGGGTGCTGCTGATGACGGTGAGGCACCTTTTCCATGTGTTCTCCTGGCTGAGATGTTTATTATATCACACAACACATAGACGGGAGAAGAACACGGAAGCACTTACGTATTATAGCTATGAATATAAATCTTATGTGCTGTCATCTGCTGCAGCGAGAAAACGTGGATTATCATTCGGTGAAGGACATCACTAGTCTCTGCGAAGAACTGGTCAAAACCCCAGCACTTCTCTTGGTCAGCTTCAAGAATGTTTGCAAGTACTGGGGTAAGCAGTGTCTGAAGACCCCTACAACAGTATTTACAAAGTTACCTGGGGAGAGCCACAGCACAGAGCCACAAGATACAAAGAAAACACAAATCAAGAAATTGCATGGCGGTTTGAATAAGAGTGGTCTCCAGAGGCTCGTGTATTTGAATGCTTAGTCACGTATTGTTCTGTGGTCTCAGTGTCCGCACCCCCCCCCCCCATCTCCCTCCAGTCCTGACAGTTAGAAGAATGGTTAGCTCTTTTCCTTAGAGGTCTTCACTGCCCCCTTGAGGTACTTAAAATCTTTACCATTTGACATAAACAATCACAAAAAGCACCTTTTCAAGCCTAGTAATTCTGATGAAAGACTTCTATGCTAACAGCTGCTGTGGATGAGGTTTGCTTTAGTCCAGAAATCAGCTGTCTGTCTGTATGTAGCTCAGACCACGACAGCACTGACTCAGCAATATACCAACAACTAGCACAGGACCCCGGCCTGAGCCCGTTACATTCCGCCAGGCTCCCTGAGGTCCCGTCAGTGTAACGGTTCTGCAATCGACTATAACATGAATCGCTGTGTCTGTAAAGCTGTACTCTCCAACACAGCACATGTCTTTTGGCAAATCTAGTTACACGAGTTTACTTTCAGAAAATGTTTTCCAAAAAAGTAAAATAATGAAACTTAGGGTATTGCTCCCTCCCCAGGAGTTGGGGATGGAGCAGTTGAGGTAGTCTCACTGTGTAGTTCAGGGTATCCTGAAACTCATTATGTAGCCCAGGATGGCCTCAAACCCATGGGGTCACAGGCAGGAACTACCACCCAGTATTTTTAGTTAGTTTGAAACTTTTTGTTGAGTCAGGGACTCACTGCTATGCAGTTCTGGCCATCCTAGAACTATGTAGCCCAGGCTAGCTTTGAACCTGTGTTGATGCTCTTGCTTCTGCTTCCTGAGTGCTGGGTTTATAAGTGTGTTACCACATTGCCCAGCCACTTTCAATTTAACATTAATCCTTTCTTTGGGACAATCTGACAATATAATAGAGTTCTGACTGATCAATTATGTAAGATCCTGTAAACATCTGAAATGTGGAAAAAGCACTATATATGCTTATTTTTTTGGGGTATTTTTTTAAAAAATTATTTATTTATTATGTATACAGTATTCTGCCTGCATGTATCTCTGCAGGCCAGAAGAGGGCATCAAGTCTCACTGCAGATGGTTGTGAGCCACCATGTGGTTGCTGGGAATTGAACTCAGGACCTCTAAAAGAGCAGGCAAAGCTCTTAACCACTGAGCCATCTCTCCAGCCCTTTTCTGGTATTTTTTGAGCTACTCTATGGTTGTCCTGGGACTCACAAAGACCCTCCTGCCTCTGTCTCCCAAGTGTTAGGATTAAAGGTTCGTCTCACTATGGCCAGCCCAGAAATACTTATTTTTTTATTCTTTTAATAACATAACAGTAAAGAGAATATTAAATTTGGTGTTTTTTTTTTTTTTTTTTTTTTTTTTTTTTTTTTTTTTTTTTTTTTTTTTTTTTTTTTTTTTTTNTTTTTTTTTGGTTTCACCTTTTCCCCGTTTTGGTTTTTCAAGATAGGATTTCTCTGTGTAGCACTAGCTGCCCTGGAACTCACTCTGTAGACCAGGCTGGTCTCGAACTCACAGAGATCCGCCAGCCTCTGCCTCCCGAGTGCTGGGATTAAAGATTTGTGCCGCCACTGAGTGCACCACCACCACCAGGAAAATCTTACTCCTAGTCACACCACTATTCGTGGTCATCAGTATCAAAGTCCTTTGTATGAGCCCTACATTGCAAAGAATTTCAAGACAAGTGAGAACCAATCTTAAGAACACATGCCTTCTATCGTCAGGAAATTATCCCCAAAGTTCAGAATGTTTACAACACCCCCAAATGCAAATTAAAAAATCAAAATAAAACTCCACTAAAAACTAAAGAGCCAACAGTGGGAGAGTCCCTGCCCATTATCCCTGCATGTGGGACATTGAGGCAGGAGGATTATCAGCCTGGGTTACATAGTGAGTTCAAGGCTAGCCTGGGCTACATAGCAAGACCCTGCCTCAAAAAACAAACCAACAGAAAGAAAGCCAGCACTGAAAATATGCGTAAATATTTGAATGTATTGTGACTTTTAGGCAACCAAGAGATTAAACACAAGGTGTCAAAGGTTAAGAATTAGGTACACTCACCGAGAAAGACTACAAGAAACAGGCATTTCTCCGCTCCAGTCAATTGGCCCATTTTCTGCTTTCTGTACTCCAGATATGGCACCAGAAGGCTTTCCAGTGATGATTTTGTACCTGGGGAGGAGCAGCAGAGTGAGACAGACAGGTCGTGATGCAGGTGTCCTCTGCTGCACATGGAGTGCTTGCGAGAGCAGACTGTGGGGCTGACTGAAGTGCAGTGGTGGTAGGGATACTATCTCTATGTCATAACAAGTTTTCATTTGGGAGCCCGGAGTGAACAGCATTTATGTTCACAACAAAAAACATTAATTTTTCCATCTGAAAAATGAGCAACACAAAAAAGCTTTATCACTGAAATCTCTAGACTATAAAATAAATCCTAATCTTTTTTAACCATATAATTACAGCCAAGCAGGCTATAATATTACTGCAAAATGAGTCATGGAATTATTTTTTTTTAAGAGGGAGATAAAACTATACATAGCACAGTATCAGAAAAACCCTCTTCATAGTCAAAAGGTAACACACACGTAGGAACAGATGCACTGAGATGAAAAGCCAAGCTGGGGACAGGGAGATGTGGTTAAGTCAGGGCAGCAGGACTCTCAGTCTCCGCCATGCTGTGCTCTTAAGAACACCTGTATCCGAGCGAAAGCATCCAGCATCAATTGGCAGTGCCTTCTTACAGTCAACAGTATTCTGTCTGATCAGTTTTAGTTTATCATCTAAACAAATGTGCTCTGGACACACCAATGTGGTTTTTTAAAAAACTAGACCCAACCAGTAAGACAGATGCAGACTACTGCTTTCTCTACAGAAGCAGCCTTAACTTCTGTCTCAAGAAATGTTTTAAAATAAAGAAATTAGCTAGGCAGTGGTGGCACACACCTTTAATCCCAGCACTCAGGAGACAGAAGCCAGCCTGGTCTACAGAGCGAGTTCCAAGACAACAGCCATAGCTACACAGAGAAACCCTGTCTCAGAAAACCAAATAATTTGTGAAAAATAAGGTGTGCGCACATGTGCCGGGTCCAGTTCTGGAGGAATAAATGGAGATGCGAGGTTAATGCAGAAGTGAAGAGAGTTAACGACAGCATTGTTAAGGAGAGCAAATTCTTCAAGAGCTTGATCTTTACAAGACTCACATGTGAACCTTAGTCATGTGCAAATTTGATGCAGGTGCAATGCAGCTGTACTGTGAGGAGTGTACCACTCACCGATACAGTCGGACGGTCATTAATGATGCCAAGGTAACACTAAATATCGCTATCAGTGCTCGCACAGAGGTGTGTTCTATACAAACAGAGATATCCCAGTATTGTATAGTTGCCCACAGAGTGATCATGCAGAGATGTTGGGTGACTTGTGAATCATGTTTCCTTTCTTACAAGCAGCAGACTTTAATTTATTTCATCCACTTTTAGAACAGCTAAAGTTGTCACTGCTTTGAAATGTATCTGTGAACATAGACGTGTGTACGTGTCAGGACAACTTACATTTAAGGAGGAAACGAAAGGAGGCCTGGCCTTTGCTAAAGGAGGGTTTTAGTAAAAAGGGCACTGTTGTAAAGCAGGCTCAGGCAGGCACTGCAACATCTTAGTGCAATTAGCGGACGTCTTCTCGATGCACAAACACACCTGTTGTAGCTCACTAGCGTGCATGCAAATGTGCAAGCTTTAGCAGAAGCACCGTATTATCCGAGCTTGTTTTATTTACTTCCTTAAAACAACAAAAGGAAGAACATGCTTCTTCCCCAATTTTCTGAGATGAAGACTCTAATTTTACAGCTGTGATTACTTTGAATCACATGCACGTGGGTAAGCTGGGATGGTGGCTATACACACAATTCCAACACTCAGGGATGCGGCAGAATGGCTTTGACAATTTCTTTTAAAATGAAGTGAAGCACAGTGTGTTGGTTGTTTCTTGTCAACTTGACACAAACCTTGACATCTGGATAGAGGAAATCTTAACAGAGAAAATGCCTTTCTGTAACACTGGCCTACAGGCAAATCTGCAAGGCATTTTCTTGATTAACGATTAACCAAGGAGGCCTAGCTCACTGGGGTGGTGTCAACCCTAGGCAGGTGGTCCTGAAGGGTTAAGGAAAGCAGACTGAACAAGCCAGGAGGAGAAAGCCAGTGAGCAGCACCCCTCCATGGCCTCTGCATCAGCTCCTGCCTCCAGGATCCTGCCTTGTGTTGTTGCCCTGACTTCCTGGGCTGATGGACGACAAGCTGTAAGATGAAATAAACCCTTCCCTCCCCAAACTGCTTTCAGTTCTGGAGTTTTACCACAGCAATAGAGACCCAAACACACACAGTGTACAGATGAATTACATAATAAATTTCACTCCAGAAATTTCTCTACCTTTTCTTTTTCTTTTTTCTTTGTTTACTATTAGTGACTGTGCATTGCTCATTTTTCCAATAATATGGCAGCATATAAATGCATACAATGCTAAGGGACTGGAGAGATGGCTCAGCAGTTAAGAGCACTGACTGCTCTTCCAGAGGATCTGGGTTTAGATCCCAGCAACAACGCAATAGTTCACAACCATTTTAACTTCAGTTCCAGGCAATCTTCTGGCCTCTTCAATCTTCAACACTTACACACATAAAATAAAAATTTTAAACTGTATACTACACTACCAGGTTTATCTCTGGATGGAACCTGTGACAAAATTACTGCTAAAATGTTATATTTAAGATAGTCAATCAGTTCAATGGAAGGTTGGAATTAAATTTCCTTGGTCCTGGAGCTACAGAGATAGCTCACAGGTTAGGAGCACTGGCTTCTTTTCCAGAGGACGTGGGTTCAATTCCCAGCATCCACATGGCAGCTCACAACTGTCTGTAACTCCAGTTCCAGGGAATCTGACAAACTCACACAGACATACATTAAAGCAAAACACCAATGCACATGAAATTAAAAAAATAAAATTAATTAAAAAAATTTCTTTGGTTGTTTTTCTCTACAGAATTATACTGGTATTATTTTTTTCAGCTGCATGGAGAAAAAGTGACAAACACAAAGTGGACTAAAGAAATGAAGCGTGCTAAAGTAAATCTCAGGGACATGGAGGTAACACCGAACCCAAGACTAGATACTAGGTTTACTTTGTAGATATTGAAACATTGAAACATGATTTAGATAACTATGCCCAACACTCTTAGAAGACTGCATTCTTAATAAAATCTGGGTAGCATCAAGTATTAGAAAAAGCCATTTTCAATTTCATTTCCTCAAACTTATGGAGAAACAAGATAATATACATTAAAAATTATGTCTCCCTTTGGATGGAACACGCACTTACATCACTTCCTTATTCCTGCGAGGCCCCTCAAATGGTCTAAATGGCAGCGATCCGGTAGCTGCATGGTAAAATGTCACTCCAATACTCCAGAGATCAACTGTAGCCCCGTACTTCTTCTGATGATCTTTTCTTAGTACGGCTCTCTCATACATGTCAGGATGCTAAAACAGAAACGTTGTGAACTTATGTCTTATATGCACGAGGACCTAGTTCAGATTCACAGCAAAGGCCGTGTAAAAAGCTGGCACAATGGAACCTGCCTGCAGCCCCGAGGTGAGGAGGGGATGTAGGAGGACCTTGGGTCTTGCTGACCAGTCAATCTAGCCAGTTGTTGGGGTCCTGGTCCAGCAAGAGACCATCTCAAAAACAGTTAGACACTTACCCTTGACCTCTGATCTCTACAAGCACACCTGGGTGCACCCCTCAAACCTCTGAGGGGAAAGGAAGGTAACAGGCTATGCATAACTTCCCCTCTTATCTTAAACTCCTGATACCATTTTGTTTGATCCTCAAATTTCATAACCTCAGTCCGTAGTTGGAGAAAGCTGCTATAATCAGATCACCGCTCTGTTAGGCCCTTCCAAACACTGACTCACTGAGTGAGCCTGTGCAGCTGTCAGGCCTCTTGTTCAGTTACAAAAAACTCACTCCTATCGAAGGCTAACTTTGCGTTTGTGCTACGCCATCATGTGATCTCACCAATTCCAGAAATCAATGCTTATGTCTATTATCCCTTTATTTTATGCATCAGTATTCCCCTCTTTACTGGATCATGTCTCTGTTTATAGAAATACCTTCCATTTAAGAAACCCAATCAAACAAATAATAACATAAAAATGCTAGGCAAGGTGGTATGTGTTCATAATCCCAGAGCTGGAGAAGGAGAGGCACAGGCTCTAGTCCCGTTAGCATCGGCTAATTGACAGACTCCAGGTCAGTGAAACCCTGTCTCTAAGGAGATGCATGGTATTCTTGAGGATGACACGTCAGGTTATCCTCCTGTCTCTGCCTATACCCACTACCTGCTCATACATATAAAACCATGAATGCATGTGTGTGTGCATGAGCATGTCTACATGCATGCACACATACACACACCCTAACACCATTGCCAACACAGCTCTGCATGGGTTTAGTGGTCCACACTTGTAAGTCCAGCTCCCAGAAAGGCCAGCCTCAGCTACATATCAAGATTGAAATGACCCTTTGTTATATTAGACCCTGACCCCCAGAACAAATAAAAAATTTAATAAATCCTGGGCTGGTGAGATGGCTCAGTGGGTAAAGGTACCTGTAACCAAGGCTGACGACCCCTGACTTCAGTCCCTGGGACCAACACGGTGAAAGGGGAGCGGTGACTACTGCAGCTGTCCTGACTTCTACAGGGGTGTCACAGCACACGCATGCCCCACCCCATAAATAAATGTAATGAAAATTTAAAACTTAACCACCCTAAAGTGTCCCATGCTCGTTTTCGGCAATTACTCAATTGTTACTTCCCACCAAAGCAAAACTGCCCAGTCCTCAGTGCACTGAGCCCAAACTGGGCCCTGCCTGGCCAGATGCTTCTCAAGTCTTCAGGTGCCTTTGTTTTTAATACAAATCCATTGCATTGGGGCAGGAGGGATGGCTCAGCAGTTCAGAGCATGGCCACTCTTCCAAAGCCGGGTTAAATTGCCAGCACCCACATGGCGGCTCATGAATGTCTGTAACTCCAATTCCAGGGAAATGATACCTTCACATAGATATACACGCAGGCAAAATGCCAAGTCACATAGTTAACCCCCCCCCCCAAAAAAAAAACTCCAGGTGTACTGTATTAGTATATAGCTATAAAACAACCAAGAGTTTTTGTTGCTGGCTTTTCCAAAAAAAAAAAAAAAAATTATTTATTTATTTATTTATTATGTATAGAATATTCTGTGTATATGCCTACAGGCCAGAAGAGGGCACCAGACCTCATTACAGATGGTTGTGAGCCACCATGTGGTTGCTGGGATTTGAACTCAGGACCTCTGGAAGAGCAGGCAATGCTCTTAACTACTGAGCCATCTCTCCAGCCCTTTGCTGGCTTTTTCGTTTTGAGACAAGGCTTCATTAGACAGCCATGGATGTCCTGGAATGTTGTATGTAGACCAGGCTGGCCTTGAACTTGTACCCATTCTCTTTCTCCTGCCTAAGTGCTGGGATCAAAGCTGTGAGTTACTACAACTAGAACAGCCTCTGAGACTGTCCAAGAGAAAATGACAGCATTTCTTAGTTCCTTCTTATACACCATATTCATCTAAACAGAAAATGGAATCTTTTGTCATAAAAATGACATACTATTTTACAGACTGTGACCAATCACCCCATGTGTAATACATCTATCATGTCATTAAAATGAAATTTCTAGTAATATGTGACTTACCAAGTACTCTTCTGTGCCATACAGAGACACAAACTGCTCATCGTCCTCCAGTTCTCTAGCGGCACCGAAGTCTGTGAGTTTGTACACAGACTGTCCATCCTCCCCTATGACGCGCATGATATTGCCCGGCTTGATGTCACGGTGCACTATGCCATTCTCTCGGAGGTGATTCATTCCACCCACTTCAGCAACAAACACAAAATACAGGAAATTGTGATGGAGGCCTCTGTGTGTACACACGTCTCAAATTCACAGATATGATATTCATATTCACTCAGACTTAAGGTTTTGTACAAGTTGGCTCAATGCCTTTTTATTTTATTTTTTAAGATTTATTTATTTATTATGTCTATAGTATTCTGCCTGCATGTATCCCTGCAGGCCAGGGCACCAGATCTCATTACAGATGGTTGTGAGCCATTATGTGGTTGCTGGGAATTGAACTGAGGACCTCTGGAAGAGCAGCCAGTGCTCCTAACCTCTGAGCCATCTCTCCAGCCCATGTACTTTTATTCTAAGAAAGAGATTCCTCTTCTACAAATACCCGCCTGCACAAGTATGCATATGTACAGTCTCATGTTTCAACTACAAGGAGTTTTAGATAAGAATTACGGCCCACAGAAGTCTGCTGTCTGATAAATGAACAAGAGTCTTAAGGCAATGACTATGAAACTACTTTTGGAGATATAGACAGAATAACAAAGAGCCCAGAAACAGTTTTATATGTTGTTTTGAGACGGGGTCTCTGTGTAACAGCCCTGGTTGATTTGGACCTTGCCTTGTAGACCAGGCTGGCTTCAAACTCACAGAGATCCACAGTTTAAGCTGGGATTAAAGGTGTGCTATCATGCCCAGCTCTTGTTTTATTGTTATTTTACTTTGGGAAAAAAAAATCACTAAAAATGAATTGGCTTGGGGCTGTAGAGATGGCTCAGCGGTCAAACTCCTAGTGGCCATTGCCTGCTCTTCCAAAGGTCCTGAGTTCAATTCCCAGCAACCACCTGATGGCTCACAACCATCTATAGTGAGATCTGGTGCCTTCTTCTGGCGTGTACATGTTACCAGAACATTGTATGCACAATAAATAAATAAGTCTTTAAAAAAAAATGAACTGGCTTCAACATATAAAATAGTAAAGAAGTAGCAAAGGGAGGGCACAGTGTGACTCTTGTTTCCATTGAGACGTGTTTATGGTTATTGCTAGTCAGTCCGTGTTCTTAAGGGCAAAGGCACTGACACTGCTGGAATTAACACATTAACACCGCAGGGTCACCAGATGAGATTAAGGCATTTACTACATTCGGGCCTCCTCAAACATTTGACTCACTTCTTTCCAAGAAGGTGTTACTTGTCTTTTAAAAATAACAGTATAAATGAAATATGTGTGTATTTATTATGACTTACCACTCATTTTAAAAAAGTATATCATTCAATAGTTTTTAATAGAGTTGTACAACTCTAGACATCAGCACCAGCACAGTTTTATCATGCTCCAAGTGACAACTTTCTCTCTGTGGGTTAGAGCAGCCCCGCAGGCACTAGCAGGCGCCCTCATATTCTGTCCTCTGAGCACGCTCATTCAGCGGCTTTTTGTCCTGTATTGTACGTTTCACGTGAGTGGGATTACATGACACTGTGATCTTTTGTCTCTTGCCTCTTTCAAGATTCACTCACATTTTATCATTATCAAAATTTCATTTTTCCTTTTCAATTAAGATTATTTTTAAATGTATGCCTCTTAGTTAGGGTCTCTATTGCTGTGAAGAGACACCATAACCACAGAAATTCTTATAAAAGAAACTTTTTAAGTTAATTAGGGTGGCTCGTTTACATTTTCAGAGGGTCAGTCCATTATCATCATGGCTGGTAGCATAGCAGTGTGTAGACAGACATGGTGCTGGCTGCATCTTGATGAGAGGGCAGCAGGAAGTGGTCTGTGACACCGAGCAAAGCTTAAGCAAAAGAGACCTCAAAGCCCGCCCCACAGTGATGCATGCAGCTACTTCAACAAGGCCACAGTTCCCTATAGTGCCACTCCCTAGGAGTTTATGGGGGCCAATTACATTCAAACCACCACATTCCACTTCCCAGGCCCCATAGAAATATAACAATATCATAAAGCAAAATGCATTTAGTCCAACTTTAAAGTCCCCGTCGTCTTTCACAGTCTCAGCAATATTGAAAAGTGCAATGTTCAAAGTCTCTTTTGAAATTCATGCAATCTCTTAGTTGTAATCCTCTATAGAATAAAACCAGCCCATGGGGGTCAATTACATACTAACTACCACACAGTATGTGTGATTAGTTTCTGCCAGCTTGACGCAAACTGGAGTCACATGGGAAGAGGGAGCCTCAGTTGGTAAATGCCTCCATCAGACTGACCTTTAGCCACATCTGTGGTATTTTCTGATTGCTGAGTGATGTGGAAGGGCCCAGTTCACTGTGGGCAGTGCCACCCTGGGACAGGTGGCCTGGGAGGTATAAGGAAAGTGACTGAAAATGAGCCTGAGGAACAAGCCAGTCTGCAGTGTTCCTCCTCAGTTTCTGCTTTGGCTCCCACTTTTGGTTTTTGCTCCCTCAATGATGGACTGTGATCAGGAAGTATAAGGCAAACAAACGCTTTCCTCCCCAGGTTGCTTCTGGTCATGTTTATCGCAACAAGAAGAATCAAACTACAACAGTAAGCATGTGTATGTGTGTGAGGTGTGTGTGTGTGTGTGTGTGTGTGTGTGTGTGAGAGAGAGAGAGAGAGAGAGAGAGAGAGAGAGAGAGAGAGAGAGAGAGAAGATATAGAGAGAGACACACACAGAGAGAAGATAGACACACACACACACAGTGTAGTGGCGGCTTGTCCTGAACTTGGCATGTAGCAGAGGACAGACACCCTTGTACTCCTGACCTTTCCAACCTCCCATGCTGGAATACAGACTTGCCCCACCATTCATCTCTTTTTATGAATGAGTAATATTCCATTCTATGGATATACAACATCTTAATCCATTTGTCAGTTGATGGGTATTTGCGTTGTCCTGATTTTATGTATTGGTTATTACGAATAACGCTACAACAAACACAGATACGTAAAACTGTCATGTGGATGTGTTTTAATTCTTTGGGCATGCCCGTCAGAACTGCTGCAGCGTACAGTTATTTCACATTGGTCTTTTGTGGAGCTGCTGAACTATTTCCTAAGGGCTGGACCACTCTACAGCCCTGCAGCACACACAGACCCCACTCTGCACTTGCCAGTGCTGGTTCTTCGTATTTGATTTGTCCATCTTCTGTAGGAAGTGGCTCTTTAGTATGACTTCCTTAGAAATTAATGACGCTGAGTACTGTTTAATGCACTCACTGGCCATCTGTCTATCAATGTCTGGTCAAGTCCTCTGACAAATTTTAAAACTGTTTTTGGTAGGGCGTCTGGACAAGATATCTTATATTTGACCTACAAAAACTCTTATGTCCCATGGGCTCTCTTTTCCAGTTATTGTCTCAAATAAGCTGTGGCTTTTAAATTTTTATTTATTTTACACATGTATGTTTTGCCTGCATGTGTATCTGTGCACCAAATGCATGCCTGGGGCCTGTGAAGGCTGGAGTTACACATGCTTACGAGCTGCTGGAAACTGACCCTGTGTTCTCTAAAAGAGCAGCCAGGGATCTTAGCAGCTGAGCCGTCTCTCCAGCCCTGAAATAATTTTTTAATGGTGATAAAGTCCAATTTATCTAACTTTTCTTTTAGGTACTTGTGCTTTTGATGTGATTTCTAAGAAAACATGTATAAAAGTCTTTTGCTTTGAATGCAGGAAATAAAATTTTCAATCTAATCTTTAAGTAATATATGTTTGAAACAATATAAATAAACATGTAAAAACCATATAAATAAACATACCCACATCTCGTAAAACAATTAAAAATTCTGATTCCGGTAGTCCATAGGCATTGGATGGCTCCTCTAAAACAGTGTATAAACTCCCACAAGGACAAAATTCCATAATAAGGACTTTATGTCTTGTCGTTGTCTGCAAAACAAATGTCACTGACTGAGAATCAATGGGAAAACATCAAGACCAGGTCTGATTCCAGGGCAACATTTGCCTGCCTGACCCCATTCAAAGGCAGGATGTGCTGCAATGACAGAATCATTGTGACTCCAGTACTGATAAATGCTATGTTTATATAATAAGCAGCTTCCAGTTTCTGTTTAATAAAGGGGGGAGGCTGGATAGAGAGTTCAGCAGTTACAAGCACTGTTGCTCTTCCAGAAGAACTGAATTCAGCTCCCAGCACCCAGACTGGGTGTCTCACAACCGCCTGAACTCCAGCCCCAGGCATCCACCAATGTCTTTTATTCTCCCCAGGCACTGGAACACATGTGAGAATACATATAAAAAAAACCCCAAAACTTAATATACAGACATATTATACTATATATAAACCAAAGTGGAGTTTGTTTGAAAGACAAACCAGTGACGACTAGCTGAAACTGAACCACAAGATCACAGATGCACTGTTGCATGTTTTTCTTCAAATCATTTCGTTTCTTCTGCACAACATGCTCAGGGAAATCTCCTTATGATAATTACTTTTACTTCAAGGAATGGAGTCCTAGTTTTAAAAAGCAATGGGTGAGCTGGAGAGATGGCTCAGTGGTTAAGAGCATGTACTGCTCTTCCAGAGGACCCGAGTTCAGTTCCCATCACCCATGTCAGGCAGCTCACCAGTGGCTGCCTGCAATCCACTCCAAGGGATCCAATGCTGCCTTCTGGCTTGAAAGGGTACCTACGCCAGTAACGTACACATATATACATAACTAAAAATAAAAACAAAATTTAAAGAAAAGGAAAAAAGAAACAAAACTGCCAGCAGAATGGTTGGGTCTCAGTAAAGTTCTGTTTTACCCATTCCTGTCTCAGCCATTTCCAGTGTCATCATCATAACAGCCGTTCTCTCTCTCTCTCTCTCTCTCTCTCTCTCTCTCTCTCTCTCTCTTTCTTTCTTTCTTTCTCTCTTTCTTTTTTTTGGTTTTGGGTTTTTGAGACAGGGTTTCTCTGTAGCCTTTCTGGAGCCTGTCCTGGCACTAGCTCTTGTAGACCAGGTTGGCCTCGAATTCACAGAGATCCACCTGCCTCTGCCTCCCCAGTGCTAGGATTAACGGCGTGCGCCACCACCACCCAGCTAATATAACAGTTTTATAAAAAGAAGGAACCTCATTGAACTACATAATATACAGTGATCATATGATATATACCATTTTTTAGAAATCTGTAATTTTGAATAAAATTTAAAATCTAATATTAAAATTTGAAAAAATTTTAAAATCTAGTACTATTTAATAAAATCTAGTATTAATTCTCGATTCTTTAAAATTTTTTTTAACACAGCCCCCAAATACTTCCATAATGTATTTTATTTTCTCTGTTCAGTAGTCATAAAAAGAGAAATAATCATTAAACAAAAAAATCTATTGTGTGTTGCCACTACGATCAGCTAATTTTCTCTTTTGGAAATAACCTATGGCCCCTGAAATCTGTTTGAAAGAAGTGTTTTTGATCCAGGACTTTAGCCAATGGGTAACTAATTATGTGATTTCTCTTTTCTTTTAAAATTTAGATAAGGTACATTACAGTCCAGACTAGCCTAAAACCACCAGCAATCCTCCTTTTTCATGTCTCAGCATCCTGAGTGTTTAGATTACAGGTTTGGGCTCTCATGCCAACCCTTTAAAAAAGAAAAAGAAATTGAGACATATTCTTACTGCACAGTTCAGGCTCTCCCTGAACCCCTGATTTTCCTAAGATTTGTGTTATAAGAATACACCACTTCAATCAGCAAGCAATGTGATTTTTATGGATGCTTTAAAACACATCATACATGTTCTGACTTGGAGAAGTAGAGACCAAGGGTCTGCCATGCAGTCCTGCAGGCAGAACATGATCCTTTTAATCCCAGCACTCAGGGAGGCAGAGGCAGGTGGATCTCTGTGGGTTCAAGGCCAGCCTGGTCTGCAGAGTGAGTTCCAGGACAGCCACAGTTACACAGAGAAACCCCATTTCGAAAAATCAAAAAACTAAACAAACGAACAAAAGAATTATCTTCCACCAAAGGCCTGGGTGATCTTTCGGGGTAACATGTCTATGCTGGAATAGCTCACAGTCTACCCTGCTTTGGCTGCTGTAATTTGTATCTTTGTGCTATTGTACAATAAAAAGCATAGGACTTTTCTGGGTCCTGTGACTCACCATCCATTTGATAACTGAAATTATCAAATGTCTAAGAACTCCTGATACTCGTGCATAGGACTTTTCTGGGTCCTGTGACTTACCATCCATTTGATAACTGAAATTATCAAATGTCTAAGAACTCCTGATACTCGTGGCTTGTAGGAAGAGTTGCCTTGGAGACCCCTGTTTGGGGCTGGTGTCGGAGGTGAGGGCAGCACTGTGGACTATGCTTTCTGTACGGTGACAGAGTCCTTTGCAGTGAGGGCTTCCACAGCCTTGGCAGTTTGGAAGGCTGCTCTCTTTTTCTGTTGCTATCTTTGTTTTCTGAGATAATGTCAGACACTCTGCAGCCTAGGCTGGTCTGGCTTTTGCAGAAATTCTTCTGCCTCAGTGTCCCAAGTGCTAAGATCATAGACTTGCACCACTATGCCCGGCTTTGTGCTGAGAACTTGGTCTTGGGGAGTTCTGAGCCAATCCTGTTCCCTTCATTAGCTACCCCACATTTTAACGATTCAGCTTTTCAATCTATCTTTACTATAATATCCTGATACCAATTCACATTTTAATGCATGAAACTTTAAGTCATACCTGATCAACCCTAAGAAATAATCATTAAGAATGAACTGTAAAGCCGGGCGGTGGTGGCGCACGCCTTTAATCCCAGCACTCGGGAGGCAGAGGCAGGCGGATCTCTGGGAGTTCGAGGCCAGCCTGGTCTACAAAGAGCTAGTTCCGGGACAGGCACCAAAGCTACAGAGAAACCCTGTCTCGAAAAAAAAAAAAATTAAAGAATGAACTGTAAAGAATATATAATATACTATTTTAAGAGAAGATCTTTGTTGAATATCCATGTCTAAAAGTAAAAAGATCACTACTTCATTATTTGTAGAGTATTTCTAGAATACTTTTCCTAATGATGTATTTAATTTTTGCCATTTTCTCTAAAATCAATCTTTTAGAGCATTGGATCTTCCAAACCTGGGGACACAGGTGGCTGTGAGCTGCCTGCTGTGGATGCTGGGAACTGAACCCTGGTCCTCTGAAGAGCAGCAAGTTCTCTTCACTGCTGAGCCATCTCGCCAGTCCTTGTTCTTTCTATAATTATGTGGACTTTACTTCAGCTTATTTTTCTTTTCCTTTTTTTGTATATAACATAAGGGATCAAATTTTACACATCTCCTTATGCCCTTTTCTGTTCTCATTCTTGACACTTTGTTTCTATTCTCTGGCTACTGAAATGCTGGGGCTAGAACACTTGGTTACATGGTGTTTGTGACCCCTTTGCTAGATCCAGTCTTCTGAGTGGGAATTACTAAAACACACGGCAGCCGGGCGATGGTGGCACACGCCTTTAAGCGATGGTGGCGCACGCCTTTAATCCCAGCACTCGGGAGGCAGAGGCAGGCGGATCTCTGTGAGTTCGAGACCAGCCTGGTCTACAGAGCTAGTTCCGGATCTCTGTGAGTTCGAGACCAGCCTGGTCTACAGAGCTAGTTCCAGGACAGGCTCCAAAGCCACACAAAAACCCTGTCTCGAAAAACCAAAAAAACAAAACAAAACAAAAAAACCACATGGCAACCTTAGATACTTACCTCCTCTTCAATAGCAAATAATTTGACAATGTTTTTGTGGTTGAGTTTTTTTAATACTTCAAATTCTCTCATTTGAACATCCACTGGGCGAAGGAAGCTTATGTTATTAAATACTTTGACAGCATATAAATCACCAGTTTTCTAAAAGGCAGAGGAAAAGAAGGAGTTAGCCACTAACATGTATAGCAATCTGTATTCTCAGCACTCTGCATCCTTCCGACCAAGCGAGCTCTGGGACCAGAGCTCCAAATCTAAAAGGCAAAGAATTTGGAATTCCCCAAAGGTTTTAGACGTTACAAAAGAACTTATAAACGGTACACTAGTGGCAAAAACAGTATTCACATAGCAGAAGGAAGCAGCTCCAGTGTCAAAAGGGAAACTTCTGGACAGGAAAAGGAAAGTGAAACTCCAACGATTTCCCAAAGCCAAACATTTGCAAATAAGAACAAAGAGATGGAAAATTATACTCTACCTACCAAACTGTTATCAACATTATCAAAGCAATGCAATTCAATTTTCAGATATTTTGTCACTGGCTATGTTAAAGTCTGTGTTGATAAGCAGGAACCTGAGAATCGAGGTCAGAGTGGACTTCCTGGCTGGACTATGCTGCTGCAGGGTAAAGTGGACTTCCTAGTTGGATCATGCCACTGCTGCCAAGCACACCTAGATGTCAGGGTGGGGCAGTGTGTTCCTTCATCAGCGACCTCTGGGGAGCAAGGATCTACTGGCATGACACGCTGCAGAACCCCTGCAGCCCTTTCTCCAGTGCTGAGGGCATGATGACATGCACTCTCACAGACACAACCACAGCTTTTTAAGAGTGCAAAACTAACTTTGCTCTGAACTCATCCAGGCCCCCACCCCCCAATTCCTTTCAGCCCCCAGAACCAGAAAGCTTCCCCTGGTGGCCAGCCCCAGCCTTTCCGCATCCAGCTTCACTTCCCCATTTATTCAAGCTCAATTTCCTCAAAGCCAGTTCTCCTTGGGGGTTCAAGCATGGTCTGCTGAAGGACAGGCCAGGTCCCCGAATTGGTGCTCTCCTTTGGACAGAGATCCAACTGTCCTCCTCCTCTCAGCACAGAAGCACCATTTTTAAAACCATTTTCTGTTGTCAATAATCCTGTCTATATGGAAATTTGAACCACCGAGTCTAAATGACCCCCACTGCCCAAGTCACAGCAAGTACAAAGAAATGTAATTTCCTTATAATTATCTCACACTCAGTCTAACAGATTGTTTTCCCTAAAAACATTTGGTTACAGTTCTTTACTTTACTGTGGGTGTGACGGGTATGTGATAGGTATGGGTATGGGTAGAGATCAGAGGGCAGTACGCAGCAGCCAGTTTTCTCTTTCCACCACGACCCGACCAAGTTGTTACACCTGGTGGCAATGGCCTTGACCTCCGGTCTGCCAGATCAAATGGGAGGTTTCTAACAGAGGAACAAGAAGTGGAAACAATAGAACAATACAATGTAGCAATGTGCCCAGGGAAATCAGGGTCAGCACTGTGGAAAGGCCTATAGTCTATCACATCTGTGAGGGAACTGGAACATGGGAATGTATCGTTTCTGCTTCTCACCTGCCATCCACTGCCACAAATCAGTTACAAGAGTTCCTTCAAGTCACCTCTCATCACCTTGACCACGGTTATCAAGCCCATATATTCCATCTGATATAACAGTAGCTAGCGACAACTTTAATAAGAAAGATTAAGCTAAGGAACACAGTGATGGCTCAGTGGATAAAAGCACTTGTCGAGCAAGCCTGATGACCCGAGTTCAATCCCCAGAATCAAAGTTGCCCTCTGACCTCCACTATGTATGCTATGGCAGTGTGCCTGTACACATAGACCACACATCTGTAAATAAAACTGCCTTAAAGATTAAATAAGTGGTATGCTTTTAATAACAGTACATTTAAGAACATGGTATCCTAGCAATACACAAAAGGGTGAATATCATCATCAAAAAAGCTTTAAAGGGGAAGCAGGATTTTTTAAAAATTATTTTTATTTTTTATTATTATGTTTATTTTATGAGCATGCGTGTTTTGCCTGCATGTATGCTATGTGTTTGCTGGTGTTCTTGAAGGGCAGAAGAAAGCATAATTCTGTAAATGGGTACAAACTATGGTGAGCTGCCGTGTGGATGCTGTAACCAAACTCTCTGTGAGAGCAGCCAGTACCTTCACCACTCATGGGCACTTGAGTGTGTGCAGATCCCTGTGGATAGCGGAGGCATCAGGTCCCCTGGAGCTGGAGTTACAGGCAGCTGTGAGCCACCTGACACTGGGTGCTGGGAACTGGACTCAGGTCCTGGGCTCTTCACCACTGAGCCATCTCTCCAGCCACACCCCGCATCCTGTGATGTCCCTCCAAACGCCGTGAATATTTTATTACTACTGGTTAATAAAGAAGCTGCCTTGGCCTATGGCAGGGCAGAATATAGCTAGGTGGGAGGGAAATCCAAGCAGAGCTAGAGGGAGAAAGAAGGTGGAGTCACACAGCCACCAGAGTAAGATGCCAGAGCATTCCCAGTAAGCCACAGGGCACGTGACGATGCATGGATTATTAGAAATTGGTTAAGTTATGTGCAGAGTTGGCCAGTAAAAAGCCTGAGTCATCAGCCAAACAGTTTGCAATTAATATTAAGCCTTAGAGTGGTTATTCAGGAACTGGCAGGCAGAAGAGAGAAACTATCAGTTACAATCCTGCTTTTTAGTACAGTCTTAGATACTTGAAGTTGATGCTGATGTCACTAAGAACAATCATAGTTTCTGGAAATATATCTCTGGAGGGATTAATGACTAAATAATAAACTGGATCATAGGAAGCTCTTAGGTTCATTCTTATCCTCCTCAAATCTGTTATTTTAGGTTTCTACAATATATTTCTAAAAGTGCACCTTTGTTTCTTTAAGGACTTTATGCTGCCTTAGGGGATCTAATCTGACTTTATCCATCCATTTACTCTTTCATTCAGTGAACATTTCAGAGGATTGGCCATGCCTAGGCACTTACACAAAGCATACCGAGTGCCTAAGTAGGGCACAGGACCAGAAGACATAAACTATCTAGTAATGCCAGCACTTTAAACACACGTCAACCAAACTATCACTACTGACTGTCATTTAGTTTCCAACTTCTATCCTTTCTAAAGGCACTTCTACACAAAAATCAAACTTGTGTGCAGGCGTTGCTCACTAGTTATAATGTAACAGCTCCAGGCCCACCACCGTGCCCGACACAAAATAACCAGTCCAGTAATTTGAAACAAAGGAGGGCAGAAGGTCAGATGTGCTTTCAACACTAAACTCTGCTACTCTCGGCTAGCAAAGAAATATCCACGCATGAGCAAAGTGAACTTAAATAAGGACCCAGAGCCCCTGCACAGTCCAGAGTCAGGAGGAAACTGCTAAAAGCCACGCATGTGCCAGATATGATTCATTCTTTATGAGCCACACAGCTGTTTATAACCATATTCTCATCCACACATGCTCGTCTCAGAGAAAATAGAAGAGTCCTCCCTACTAAGACATTCAGCGTTCCTCTATCTGAAATTAAGAATTACAACTCCGAACATCACTCAAATAAATTCAAAGTGCCAAAAAATCAGTCATTATTTGACTGGTAAAAAAAAATCCTCACTTGATTATTTTTCCAGCCTTTTTCACGTTTATCTTTGAGTTCTTCATTTTAAATTATTCTAGTGGTTATCCCTAATATATCCTCCAATACAACTGTTTGGGTTCTTGACCTGCCGCTGGAATCCTTTTAATCCCACTCCCACTTCTCCCAGGGTCAGAGTGCCTCACACTAGGACACAGCCTACTAACTCTGGTTTCCATGTTGAGAATCTCTTTTCACTCCAATCCACTGTGTAGCATGCGATTTTAGAGACAGCATGGGCCTCAGGTTGAGCAGATGAGAATCACCCGTGGGTGATTCTGTGGCCTCTGCCTACCCACCATCTTTCCCACCATTGGGAAGATAAGTAGGAAGGCAGAAACACTTTCCAATCAACTTCCAGTTTTTTCCATTCTGTATACACATAAACGCTAGCACTGCCCCCAAACAAACTAAATCTTAAATAATCACAAAAATCATAAAAATCCCTTTTCTTTAGACATCCCCTCCTCCCTCCAAGAAGTCAACACCACAAAGCCAAAGGTTTCATATAAATGTGCTGGTCAGAAGGAAACAAAGCGGGGAAAACAGGGACAGCACTGTACGTACCTTATGTCTTCCTCGGAAGACATTTGCAGTGGCGCCCTGGCCTAAGATGTCAGACAAAAGCCACAGATGGTTAGACGTGCTCTGCATCTCGGCTCGCTCGGGCGCTCCTCACGCTGAGGGGAAAGAAGAGATGTGTATGTGTGCTGTTAACAAAATAAACACAGCCAAGAAACAAATGCCAGCCACATCTAGTCTGAAGTAGGCCTACTTATTATTTACTGCCAAGCAGAACTGCATCAAGAGTCCAGTGTTAAAGATGAACCTAACAATGAGGATAAAACACTGTGTGGGCACTACAGGAAAAAAGCCCCACGATATTAAGCCACTGACACACAATCAGTTGTTTCTGTTATGCTTCGGAGAGAGTGTTACTATATTTCCCAGCCTAGCTTTGAGCTCTCTATAACCTCCAGAATGATGGGACTGCAGGTAGACCTGGCTCTTTGTGGATGTGTGTGGATCTGTGCGTGTGATGCTGAAGGAGGTGAGAGGGTGTCGGACCCCAGGAGCTGGGTTAGAGGCCATTGTGACCCACTTGCTGTGGTGCTCGGAGCTCAACTCCCACCCTCTGCCAATTAGAGTAAATTGACTCCTCCAACTGTTCCGAAAGATTAATCATTGATTTACAAAAAAAAAAAAAAAAAATTGACACAGGGTCTCATATAACCCACAATGGCCTTGAACCCGCAATCTTTCTGCCTTCGCCTCCCAAATATTCAGAGGCAAATTAAAGAGATTAGCACAATACTAACAAAAAACAATCATCACTATGTAATAGTTCCATAGTGCAAAATTTCATCTACAGAGAAACTGTGATTGAGAAGTACAAAACTTATTATTCCTGAAAAGTCAGTAACTCCTCGGCCACTGTTTAAGGATAGGTTCCTGGGCTAGCGAAATAAATGGCTCAGTGGGCAGAGGCACTTGCTCCCAGCCCTGGCAACCATGTGGCAGAAGGAAAGGACCATCTGTGCTACAACATGCATAAGCACACACAATAAATAAAATGTTAAATACATTAAAAAGCGGCCACATATCAAGTACATATGACCAAGTCTTTATTTTATTTATTTATTTGTTTGTTAGATAGGGTTTCTCTGTAGCTTTGGAGCCTATCCTGGAACTAACTCTCGTAGACCAGGTTGGTCTTAAATTCACAGAGATCCACTTGCCTCTGCTGAGTGCTGCGATTAAAGGCCACTAACGCCCGGTCATATGACCAAGTCTTAAGAAGCGTCAACAGTGACTTGTCCTTTTTTTTTTTTTTTTTTTTTTTTTTTGGTTTTTCGAGACAGTGTTTCTCTGTGGCTTTGGAGCCTGTCCTGGAACTAGCTCTAGCTCTGTAGACCAGGCTGGTCTCGAACTCACAGAGATCCGCCTGCCTCTGCCTCCCAAGTGCTGGGATTAAAGGTGTGCACCACCATCGCCCGGCGTGACTTGTCCTTTTAACATGGGAAAGCCATGCAATTAAAAAAATGGCACCAACACTAGACATGTCAGACTCCTTCAAGCCTGCTGTAAGTTCAGAGCACAAAAATCTTACCATCCATTTCCAAAATGTTAGCATTCCAGTCATCCAAGGATGGTTAGGAACATAAAAAATGGCCAAGGGTCCACGTTTCACCAATCTCTTCTACACTAGATATCTTTATAATTTTATCACCTGTATAATTTAGATAAGTAATTGCCCATCCAATCTATTTGAAAGTAAGCAATAAGAATAGCACTCACTCGCTGGATGGATGTCCTGTGTGTGTGTGTGAGAGAGAAAAAGACTCCATTTTCATAAGTAATAAATGCATTTACCAGTTACTGCATTTCATTCAAGAGGTGGCAAACCCAAATATGTATGGAAAACTTTCCCTAGTTGTTATCTTGTTGTCAGATAGCTAAATGAAAGACAGTATCAAGTACTTAGATGTATCTAGTGGATAACTGAAAATACGCTGAAAATACGCTTAGCACGCTTACCTGCCCTCTATATACCAATATACAAAGACGGGTCCATGACAGTGATGGTTTCAAACTTTCTTCCAACAACCCCCCCACAACTAATGCATGACTCAGCACACCCACCAGAGGCTCCCCAAATTTTGACAAGCATATAAACTGGCGTTCAACAAGTACATTATTGCTGACGCAGTCGCCAGTCTACTTCCTTTAATTGTTTAAAACGAAAGTTACCAAGGATAAAACAGGTTTGGTGGCATGCTGTGCGGACAAAGTTCCAGGATTTCCAAACTCTACCTCACGTCAACCATTTATTCGATAGATAGTAGAGGTTCCAGAGTGGAAAAGGTCGGGTTTTGATTATGCATTTGACAGTTCTCGGGGGACACCTTCTCTTGGGACGACCGACAGACGGATAATACCAGGAAAACGGATGAGGCAAATAAATCCAAAAGTCAGGTCAAAGAGAAACTAGAAAACATGGGAATTTGCAATTTTGTCTGTGTACATAAAAAAAAAAAAAAGTCTCGTACTGGTAGCCTCAAAGGTGAGTCAACCTTTGAGGACCATTTAAAATGTGTCAGTCCATTTAAAATGTGTCAGCTGGGCCAAGGGTGCGAGTCGGGAGTCAGCTCCGGGCTGGGCAGCCCTTCTGCCCCGCCGCCAGGGCCCAGCCGGGGCGAACCGGGGCGAGCGCGAGGCTGCGGGACCCCTCCGGGCCGCGGCCCCGCACTGACTCAGCACCCGTCGGCCTCCCCGACTCCCGGGGGCGCCAGCCCGCTCCGCCCGACCCCGCCCGATCCTCTTACCCAGCCGAGTCTCCGCCGCGCACAGCCCGCAGCTCCGGGGCCTTCTAGCGCCCCAGGCTACTTCCGGCTTCTCCAGTCCGGGCCACGGAGCACGTGACCTACGGCGGCGGCGCGCCTGCGCGTGCGCACTCCTGCGGGCCTACGGGGCCGCGGCGGCCGGGCCAAGCTTCGCTGGCTGCAGTGCCCTGTGCCGACCGCGCTCACCCCGCGGGTGGAGCTAAGGGAACTGGGCACCGCTCTGACCAGTCACACAGGTGGGCAGAATGCTGGTCCTGAGGGCTTTCGCCGAGTAGATGACTGGGAGGCAGGTTTGTGTTTTAAACATCACTTGGCGGCAAGAGCAAGTATCAGTTCATAATGTCCATTCTGGTTTTGGGTAATACTGGAGAATTTAAACCCTGAACTTAAAAGCGCTAAACCAGAGCTATGATCAGGTTCTGCTCAAGGCAGACTCCAGTGGACGCTGTTACGCCCATATCGTGAGGTCCCCCAAAAATCACGAGTCCGCACTCGTATGTGAAAGCAAAAATCCTTTATTCAAGCAAGCTTAAGCTTGGACTCTCCGTCTCCCCAACGTACCGGATGAGAGCAGAGCAGAGTGCGCCAAGCTCAGCCGGGGTAGAGTTCTTATCATAGTAGAAGTTGGGGTGATTGGCAGACATCTGTCTAGGGGTCTCGGCAAAAGGGGAGTAGGTGAGTCCTGGGCTCCGGAACATCCCGTGACCTTATCTAATGGTTGGTATATCAGGTACTTCCCTTTACACGCTGGCCCTCCCTGGGTGGTGTGGAACAGGTGCTGCCTGCCTATTGTATGCAGCCAGGTTGCCCTGGGCCCCGCAGACGGAAGGTGTAACTTCTGGGGGGTGGGGGTGGGGGCGGGAAGGAGAGTGGGTCCCAGAGCAGAATGATGAAGGAAGACACCACATGGTAAGGGCACAGGCTTCCCCCAGGAACAGACAAGGGGATGAAGTCCCCTCTCCTGACCTGAAGCTCCATAGGCCCATTTTCATCAAACGCACAATGGCGATCAAAAAAAGCCCAACCCAATGAGTTCTTAAAAACAAAGTTATTTTATTAGAATTTTAAACAGTTTAGGCAATGAAATCATTCTAACAGCAAATGCACTTTCTGCTTACAATTAAAACCTATTTCAGTTCTGACGACATGAGCATCCAAGTTTCTGCCAACAGAAAAACCCACAGCTCAAAAATTATGGAGGAAATATGAGTAAGCCAAAGGACTTCACATGTTTACCACATAAGTGATACACACTAAAATACCACATAGTACTTTCTTAAAGTCAAGCCACCTGTGATCCCATTAGCAAGCATCGAGAATGAAACAAACGGTTAGGCACAGGACCATAAATCAGGCACCATAAACCCATGTCTTTCGCCTGTTTTCTCACCTGTAACAAATGAGATTCACTAGCTTGCTTTTAAAAATAAGGTACTTAATGAATGGCGGGAACAGTCTCCATCCTGGCGGTAACCTCAAGGAATGAAGATGAGCATTCTTATACATGATTACATTGACATGAAGTTCCTTAAACACTCTGATTCCTTAGGTCTAAACACATGTGAATCTATTTTAGGGCTTTAGAGAGCCGTGTGTGGGCTCAATAGTACAGTAATACAAGCTAATACTGAGGCCTATGTTTTAACTCATTGAATTCTTAACAAGTTATGAGGTAGCTACCATTATTTTCCCCATTTCTGAGGGGGAAACCAAGGCAGGAAGAAGTCATTTAACTTGTTCAAGGTCCTAAAATCAGTTACTGGTGAGTGGTGCGTGGGTCCCGAGTCCACAGTACACAAATCTTCACTACTCTGAGGTGCTCCTAACTACAACACCTTGCACAATCACTGTTGCGACAGATGCCACTGCATCTCAGAGTGCACAGGAAAACCCCAGTTTTGCTTGTGTTTTTTTTTTTTGTTGTTGTTGTTGTTTTTGTTTTTGAAACCAAGTCTCATTCTAGCCCAGACTGGCCCTAGCATCTTCTAAAGGCTGTGATTATAAGCATAAGCCACCAAACCTGGCTCACTTTCCCATTTTTAAAAACCCATTATTTCCTGAAGTGTTACATACACTTCACTAATCTATTTTTATCATTCAATAAAAGACTATTCCTAGCTGTCAATTTTACTGCCTTTATTTTATAATGTAGGAAATGCTATTTCTTGTGGACTTAAATCAGAAAAAGATTCCTGTGCACAATTTAGAGTAAAATGGGGGGGGGTGGCGCTCAGCAGGTAAATGGTTGAACGAGAATGAGGACCTGCCCCAGTACCCACATAAACGCTGGGAGCTGAGGACTGTGTCTCGTCGGCCAGCCAACCTAGCTAAACAGCTCCAGGTTCAGTGGAAGATGCTCTCAATAAAGAGGGTTCTTATCAACCCCCACCCACCCCATACAGATGAACACACACTGAATATCACACACAGACTCATTTAAAAAAAGATTTTAGGGAATCTATGGTCACAAATCCTTAGAAAACACACAAATCCCTCCTGAAATCTTTTTGTCTCCTCCCTGTTCTGTGGTACTAGATCCTCAAGTGAGCACTCTGCCCCTAAGAAATGCACTCACAACTCCCTCTCAAAGCCAGCAGGATGCTGTTTACTACAATTTTAGGCAGGTTCTCGTGTGGCCTCGGTTGCCTCAAACTCACGATGCATCTGAGGAGGCCTGGGACCTCTGATGCTCCTTTGCTTTTATGCAGTGCTGAGGAGGGCACCCAGGACTCTCCCTGCGTGGGGGTGAGGCCCAGGCCTTCAGTGTCTGCAGCTGTGCTACTGCAGTCCTGCCCCTCTGCTCCAGCCTCCTCCTCCTGTGCACACAGCAGTACTTGTAGTCATCAAGCAGTAACTGACTACAAAATCAAACACACAAGTGGTCAGACCTGGTGGTTCACACCTTTAATCCCAGCAGCTAGGAGGCAGAGACAGGCAGATCTCTGAATTTGAAGCCAGTCTGGTCTATATAGTGAGACCCTGTCTCAAGGCAAAAACAAACAAACAAAAATCCAAGTGTACTTATTATGCGCTATGAATACCTAATATCATAGAAAAACATTGGGATTTATAATCCTATCATAGATTCACAGAGCCTGTTTCTAGTGCATTTAAAAGACTAACTTAACAGACTTCCGTTGAGTGACCTTTAAGGATACAGTCAATGAAATAAGGCTTCCACATTCATGTCTGCAAACCTTTAGGTGGGAAATCAGAGAGATTATACTGGGAAAATGAGGCTATTTATAATAATTCTGGAAAAGACTTGGTATATTTCACTATGTAAAATTTATTTTTTATAAAAAATGTGTAACACCAGCACCTACTTTTAAACCAACTAATTTAGGAACCCATTCTCTTATAGAACACCCACTGGCATTGAGACAGTTTAAAGAAATGTAATGGCTATCTACAGAAAAAAATTACGTTTTGATTGTTACCCCATAGTTTGTGTCTGCACACATAAAACTGAACATTTCCAACTTTACATTCAATTGTTAGAGTCAGTTTCCCACTGCTATAGTTTTTTTTTTATAAAGAACTTTAGAGTTTCATATAAAGAAAAAATTAAGGTACTAGGATAAAGCTATGTCTTATAAACAGTTTAAACTGGCATGCAGGCAATTGCCACATACCTGCATTTAGGGAAAAATTACACCCATTTACATAAGTCCCACATCACAGCAATACGCTCAAAACGATGTTAAAAGATGAACGTGAATGGCACACAAAAACTGCTTCTTTATAAATTATTAGCTGGAACTCCCGGTCATGACACAGGACAGGGAAATCCAGTCCTCAGGGCTTTGCTCTCTGGAAGAACACCTGCAAAACAGTGTTGAAACAGCACAAGTGTCAGGCAAGATAGCTCTTTCAGGTCTCTGAATGCCAGTTCCCCCTTGGTAACAAACAACACTGCTATGAGCAACAGGATATAGGTTTTGGCAGCTTTTTATTTACTGGTAAAATTAACAGTGGAAAGTTAAATTTAAGGAAGAAAAAAGTCAAAGATAAGACAGAAATCTTAAGCCTTAAAAGACTTCATATTCCTAAGACCTAGATGTCTGGGTTCACCTGACAAGTTAGGTGAGAGGAAGGGTGGGCATAGTAACTCACACCTAAGAGTCCCAAGAGTTGGGAGGCCAAAGCAAGAGACAGTGAATTCCAAGCTAGCCTGGGCTACATAAGAGAGAGCCTGTCTCAAAATAAACCAAAACCCAAAAGTGCTAAGAACGACCCTGAATGAGCAGAAGGAAGCCTTCCAAGAAGACTGTCTTAGCTTTTACTGTCAGGATGACATAGCCGTGGGCCCCCAGCGAAGGAGTCTCAATTGAGGAACTTCCCACATCAATCTGGCCTGTGGGACAGTGTCTTGACTGTTAATTAAGAGGCTGGACCAGCCAACTGTGAGCAACACCATTCCCTTAGGAGGCGGCCTAGGACTGTGTAAGAAAACTAGCTACTTTTAGCCTGTGATGGGCCAGCAAGCAGTGCTCTTAGGTGGTTGCGGCTTCAAGTTCCTATCCTGGGCATGCTCATGAGGACTGTGACCTGTAAGCTGGGATGAACCTTTGGCCATGGTATCTGTCACGTCACCAGAATGGCCAGAACAGAGCATGGTAAAGGTAAGCCGAGAACAGCAAAGATGATCCAAACAAGAGAAATAGAAACATGGTCTGCCGTCAGAACACGGAAACAATGGAAACCCCAGATAAGAAGCATGAACTTGTCTTAGTAAACAGCATTTCCAGTAAGAACACTGGATGAAGAAATTCTTGATAGATCAGCCAAGCTATACCAAGGGAAGGAACACTGAGATAGCAGAAGCCATCCAAAAGAGCAGGGAGGAATCATAAGGAGAAAGGACACAGAGATTGTTTCCAGTCAGAAGAAAATGCTAGCACCGAGACACTGCTCTCTGCCACCGAGAAGCCGAGTCAGCCTGCCAGCGCAGTGCATAAGAACCAACGCACCCAAGCACTTGCACGAGCCTTCCACGGGGCCCCAGGACTTCCTGCTACCAACCAAGTCAGATCCAGTCATTTTCACAGGCACTTTCCTTTTTTCCTCCCAAAAAGAAAATTAAAAAAAAAAAA